TTTCCCTGTATTTAAGCCCAGGGAAAGAATCGTGCTAAAGCCTATAATAGTCCCCAAATACAACCCTAACTTTCCTCTTGCCAACTGCCCAGACTCTTCCTTGCTTCCTTTCTCAGCTATTCTGAGACAGGGGAGGGGCCCTCATGGCATCCTTCTTTGGCTTTGGGTGAGTGTTTGGCATGGGAACTATATACTTATTTGTGCATCAGATACATGTTTTGATTCATATGGTCCAAAGATCCTTAGTTTTTATTCCACCATTGATACTCTCCCCTGTATTCCTGCACTTACATTTATTCTCTTTTTAAATTCATTGTGTAATTCTTTGCTCATCTTGTGAAACTTTTCAAGCTGCAGGCAAATAAATTGCTAGGTGTAGTTTGATATCTTCATAGACATTGAACACAATCTGTTACTCATCTTTTACAGGGTTCTCTCATGCTTTTCACAGAGCAGACATTTAGTAAGTATTTTTACATGAATTTGGAATTACAAAGAAGTTTGATGTTAGATAATCATCCTCGTACATCTGAAATTGCGTGGCACTTAAAAGTGATGAGATTAAGACAGATGAGAGAAGAACAAATATTGTATGTTATTTATTATATGGCAAGAAGTATGGAAGGCCACTCCCAAAATCATTTGGTCCTCACAGCAATTACATGAGACCTGAACTTTTCCCATTTTATAAGTAAGAAGCAGTATTATAATATTAAGCAACTTTCACAAGGTTACATGACTACTAAGTGATAAACCAAGATTCAAAGCCAGGTTTCCCTGGATCAAAAATCTATGTTCTTCCTATTAAGCTTTCTTATTATTTCTTGTGTAGTAATGATAGTTTTTCTGGGATGAATAATTGACTATTGTTCACATATTCTTGGTAAGTATTACTTATCAAGTAGTGTTCATCAGATGCATAAGTATATATAAACACTTAGTATTTACAGACTTACCAGTTATTCCTGCAGAATCCATGGGTATTCCTGACTTTGTAACTCAGAAATTCTCTTGAATCAACTCTTCTGTGAAATATGTGATAAAACTGGGGTCGAGCTGCTTAGCGCAACTGACCACGAGACATGGAATAAGAACCCAAGAACTCCCATGCATGTCCTGCCCAGGCTACACTTTCTTCATGAACTTGTTTATTAGTCCCACCCAGATTTCTTAAATAAACATTTAAGTGCTTCACATGTTCCAGGAATTGTTTTTGCAGACTCTGGAAACATTAGGGAAAGCCATGAGATATAGCAGGAAGGAGTCGTTCTGTCCTTCAGGAAAGACAAGAGAACTATTGACAAGCTCAATGGCTATGACTGGTTCCCGGGTCAATTGATCAACTTCCACAAGGCTAGCAAAGAAAAGTGATATGGGGGCTAACAGATTAATGTGATGATTAAGGTGCTGGGCTCCCACATGACCAACCATGGTTTGAGTCCCAGACCCAGTGGCTTGAAAATCATGCCAGACATGTGTGCCCTCCCAAAATCCCAAGAGGAGAATGGAGGAGAAGTGATTGTAGCATGGCCATTCTCCCTGGGGGTAGATTTCTCACTTTCCCTCTCTCTGTCTTTCTCCAGTGAGGACACACACTCTATGGTAAAACCCTTAAAAAAGAAAAAAAGAAAAAAAAAGCCGTATGAATGTAAAAATAGGATGGTGGCAAGAGGTAAAAAGAGAATGAAGAAGGATATACCTTGTCCACTTGAGCTTGCAGCTGGTGACTCTCAATCAACTGAGGAAGTTTCTTGGCAATTTCCATCCAAGGTCTATAGTGATCTGGAAGTTCTTTCTGCATTTAAAATAGAAATATCTCAATATTGGGCCCTCCTCATAGTCTAGTGGTTAAGGGAGCCAGATTCCACATGGCTGACTGAGGTATGAATTCTGGTCCCAGTGGTTTAAAACACATGCTGGGTACATGCCTGTGCATGACCAAAGTCTTAACAGAATGGAGACATGGCAGAAAAAGAACTGTAGTCACGCTTAATGGGAGGGTGCTCTCTCTCTCTCTCTCTCTCTCTGTGCGTGTGTGTGTGTGTGTGTGTGTGTGTGTGTGTGTGTTTCTCTCTGGTGAGCACATGACCCCTCTGGCAGTTAAAAAGAAAAGAAAAAAGAAGTATTTCTATATATTAGACCTCTCTGGCAAGCCATTTCCGGTAAGATCTGCTTTTGGATTTGCATCTTCAGGAGAATTTACGTAAAATCAATTCAGTAAATATGGAGAATGCATTACTGTGAGGCCCCGGGCTGAGCACTGCAGATACACAGGTGATCAGATTAGAGTTGTCCTTATGGAGCATGTGATCTACTATGGTTTGAATGCGCCCTCCTGACAACCTCCCCAATTTGTGTGTTGTATGTGAAGGTATTGAGAGAAAACTCAGTTTGATTATGATGCTGAACTCCAGGGTTGGGCCTCTATGGCTGCTTTTGCATTATAGAGGTGGAGTTGGGTAGGCGGCAGAAACCACACTTAAAATACTTACTGGTTTGGCCTTCAAAAAAGTTCAACAAACCCTGATACTCCCCTAAGTTCTGGGATCCCTTTTTCAGTATATATCCTGCCAGACTCAATGTTGTGTCTCCAGGTTAAGGAAGGAAGAGAGTCAGGGTGATTTCCCTATTTATGAACTAGGTGATGGGATGAATGAGTGGGAGCACACAGTGACATAGAAAGTCAGGTGGCGGTCAGAGTGAGTACAAAGGTGTAACTCGGTATAAAGATCTAACTGTGCCCTGAGAGACAGAATACACTGAAGTTCAGGAGGGAAGTCATATTAAAAATCCATAATTGGGCAATATAACTGTATTTAGAACCCTACACTGTGGTTAAAACCACAGGAGTGTACAGAGTCATTCTGGAAACTATGCAAAGTGAAACAAAAAGAAACCTAGACTTTCCCACTGGGTAATTTTCAGAAGGTAGTAGAGGAACTGAGGGCAGCAATACAGATCAGAAAGACAGTCACGCAAGTCAACCTCCCAGACAGAATGGCTTTACGGAAACCAAAACAGAGGTAGGGGCATTAGAAATTAAAATAAATCATTAGAAGTTAGATTGTCCCCTTTAAAAAAACAAAACAAGGAGCCAAGAGGTGGGCATGGTGATTAAGGTGCTGGACTTCCTCATGACTGATTGTGGTTCGAGTCCCAGACTCAGTGACGACTCGGTGACTTGAAAAGTCATGCCAGGCACATGTGAGTGCTTGCTCAAAACCCTGAGAGGAGAATGGAGAAGGGATTCCAGCATGGCCATCCTTTCTTGGGGGTAATTTCTCACTTCCCTTTGCTCTGTCTCTCTCTGCCTATCTCTGAGGAACACGTGCCCTATGGCAAAAACCTAAAAAATACCCCACAATTTAATAACATTGAAGTTAGCAACATATATTAGCTTTTTTTATTTTACATATATGGTATAGAAATTGAGATTGAGGTTATAGAAACAGTATAGTGTGTTGAGGAAGAAAATGGGGGAAAATGTAGATTACTTTTTTAGGTAAGCTGTGAGTGGGGGTGATTTTTTTTTTTTTTTTTGAGAGGTTTTTGCTATAGGGCACATGCACTCGCCGGAAGTATTATCTTTATAGCAGAAAAATAAACCTCAGAGATTAAATATAACTTGGTAGTTTGTAAAACTGGTAAGACCTTGGGGCCAGCAGGTGACATGGTGGTTAATGAGTCGGACTCCCAGATGGCCTCCCACTGTTTGAGTCCTGGACTTGGAGGCTTGAAAATCATACCGGGCATAAGTGCATGTGTGCCTAAGATCCCCGAAAGAGACTGGAGGAGAAGGGATTGTGGCATGACCATGCCCCTCACCCTGGCAGGTGATTTCTCACTTCCCCTCTCTCTGTCTCTCTGTCTGTCTCTGACAAGTCCATGACAAAAAACCTAATAAAATAAAATAAAATAAACCTAAAAAAAAAGACGAAATTGTCAGAGAGCATCTGGAAGTAAAATTAAATCAGACTGACCATCACAGAGCCCACTTGTGCCATTAACCAGAACTGGCCATGTTGCCTACCCCCAGTTTACAGGAGCATTCTTAGGGGGAATTTGACATGAATCCCAGAGGAAAACTTCCCAAGGATCCACAGATATCTATCAACCAGAAAAACTTACAAAACTGAGTTTTATGTTTGGAAAATATTTTTCAATTTCAAGTTATCTGTCAAACATAAATGTTTGTTTTCATTACACACGAAAAGGAACACAAATACAACATTAAGTTTCTTTGTATTTATGCACTCTCAAGACTGTCTTTGCCCGTCTTCTTTCTTCCATTGCATAGGTCTCCATTTCAGAAACATGATTTGATTATAACTTATCCTTTGAAATTCATGCAGGAGAGAAAACTTGTTTCTCATGTTGTGGTGGTCACACAATCACTTAAAATAAAAGCTGGAGCTGAGGCTCGAGTTGGTTTAGTGGCCTGTTCATTGGCTACATGGTCTTTCTCATGGTTTTGGCTTTCCTCTGACTTTCAATTTGCAATGTTCAAGCACACGGTGTGATATTTCTTCACATGGTGATCATAAGGTAACATTATACTGATAAAGCCATCAGACATTGACCTTTGCTCATGTTCCCCTGACCACCTCATATTTTGCATTCTCACTTTTCATCGCCATTTTCCTTTTCATGCCTGTGGGGTTTGGTCTGAGAATCTCAGAACATGACCATGCTTTTAGTCATTTTTTCCCCATTCTCTATCCATTTGACTTCTCATAATGGGCTGAATGCTGCTTCTGATTCTCCCTCCTCCCCACCCAAAAGAAATATATGGTTACAAGGAAGCTATGAGTAAGATTTATTTGGAAAGAGGGCCATTACAGATGAGATTGTCCTGGACTAGAGCAAGCCCTAAATTCAATGACAAGTATCCTTACAGAAGAAGACACACAGACAGGAGGGGCAGACACAGAGAAGTCCATGAGAAGATAGAGGCAGAAAATAGGGTGAGTCTGCCTTAAACCAAAAATGCCTGGAGCCCCTCCAAAAATGAAAGAAGCAAGGACAACCATCCCTTCGAGCTGTGAGAGGGAGAGTGAGTTTGTCAGCATCTGGTTCCTGATTTCTGTTCTCAGGAATTCTCAGAGAGCGGATATCTTGGTTTTAAACCACCAAGGTAGTGGTCATTTGTTACCATTGCCCTAGGAAACCGGTACACTTCCTAAGCTTCCTGTTGACTGAAAGGATCATATTTGTATTTTTTTAAAGTCCAACTTTTCAAATATTTTTCTAGGTCTATGAGTTTACTCCTCTCCAAGTTGTCAAGATTTTTTTTTTTTTGAGAGGTTTTTGCTATAGGGCACATGTGCTCACCAGACAGACAGAAAGAGATAGAGAGACAGAAAGCGAGAAATCGCCCCCCAGGGGTGATGTCCACCCACAATCCCTTCTCCTCCATTCGTGGTTGAGCTCCACCCCCAAGCCCTTCTCCTCCATTCTCCTCTTTGGATCTTGGGCACGCACACACACAGGTCCGGGACTCGAACCACAGCCGACTACATGGGAGTCCAGCAACATAGCCATTACACTAACTGCTGGTCCCCTGTCAAGATTTTAACAGCCTAAGTGACCTAGGTGGGAAAACAATTAAGTTGCTTCTTGTCTAAGATCCTGATTTTCGGAAGCCAGCCTTGGTTCTTCCTGCTTCCATTTCCGTATCCCTGTCTGCCCATTCCCTCTGTCTCTACCCACTTGTCTTGATTCCTTAATGCTGTCACAAAAATCCATGCTTTATCATTATATTCTCCCCAACCCCAAACACTTTTATTTTAATAATCTATATTAAGTTTTTTGGGGGGGAGGGGGATTTTTGCTTTAGAGCAGGTGCACTCACCAGAGAGAGAAAGAGAGAAAGACAGAAATCATCCCTCTGGGAGGGATGGCCATGCCACAATCCCTTCTCCTCCATTCTCCTCTTGGGGTTTTAGGCACACATGCACACACCCCTAGCCTGAGTTTCAAGCCACCAGGTCCAGGACTCAAACAGCAGTTGATCACATGGGAGACTAACACCTTAACCATCACACCACCTACTGGCTCCTCTTCTTTTCAGCTGGTATTTAAATTACTTATTTATTTGCTGTATTTATCAACCAGCCTTTGAAGTGTAGCCCCTTGTCCCTCATCCAGACCATGTGGGAACGCCCTGCCCTGTCTTCCACTCCAACTGGCTTTCAAGTGCTGGAACCAGTTAGGCTGGAGATGCCCATTAACCTTTCTGGGAAGGGCTCTTTTAAAAATTCTCCAAGGAATTTTAGTGTCCAGCCCAAGGATCCCTCTTCTAAACCACACTGCACTTTACATTCTGCAAGGAAAGTATGCAAATGTTGGTTGGACAACGCCGCTTACCAGGTATGTTAGGCCCAAACTCTGGAGTTTAACAGCTGAGGTCTGTTTCGCTCCTGCTGTAATCTACCTTGGTCCCTCCTTTCCTGTCAAACTAATTTCTTTATGTCTTTATGTCTAAAAAGAAATTACTCCCTTTCAATAACATGGGGTGCACGAGCTCGCAGAGGACTTTTGTAGTATGTTTATGAGTCTGAGTCTGAGCATCATAAAGGTTCCACATGGAAACCGTGGAACTTGGAAATGTTTGAGTTTATAGAATTTCTGAGTGTTTATAGGAATAGTGAGATGGAATATTCAAAGCCAAGTCAGACGCTTCTTCCAGCCATTAGCTGCACCATGGTTTCTTCAGAGAGAAAGTGCATAACTATTTTTAGTAAGGAACCAAAAGATTATCTGAAAGAGCGTCTTTGAGGCCAGCTGACTGGAAGGCACAACCTCCCCACACTTTCCTTTGAAAAAAAGGATGCGAAGTCTGGTTGAGCCCTGCATAGAGCCCTGTGTAGACTTATTTCCACTCCTGGATCAGTTGCGACACTATTGACGGGTGGTACTGACCACCCATCTCTCCTCCTCTGGGACTGAGTCTAACAAAATGTCCTTCCTCTACCTCTTCCCAGAAGGGAAGATGTTTAACATTCTCTCACACAGGAGGGAAAATTAAAACTGAAAGAAAGAGTTAAATATTGAGAGGTCTGGGAAGTTGACTCGAACAGAATAGAACCAGTTTGCCAGGGAATTTTTAATATGATCAGAAATGAAAATTTCTCCTAAGGGGTATTTGTCAAGTAAATTACAGCACAGATCTTTATCTAGCTCTATCATTAAGACCTTGATGTCATTGTTTCTCGATTGGTTTCTATGTTTATGAAAAAGGAAATAACAAAGAGAGGAACTGGGCTATTGTGTGGCCCTACTCAGCGTTTACTTGCTTTGTAAAATTATTTATCCTTGCACAGTGTACATTTCTCATTCCTAGAGGAGCTTGCTGGCCTCGTGGCCTTTTCTTCCGTGTATACTAGAGAGGATGGGAATAGAATAATGAAATTATACATGAAAAGTGGAGTTTCTAAAGAGCAGTGGACTGAGGGGCAGGAGGACTGGCTTCTAGTCCTTCCCCAGATGATCAAACTGCTTTCACATTCTTGCTCCATAGCCACACAGTGGGGCTAGCTCCAGATCTCCACCCAGTCGAGGGAAAACTAAGATCAGGCAATACTTCTGATTGTCTCAGCGTCACAGCAGCAAGTATAAACGAGGGTCGCTGACTCATTCTGGCTTGCCGGGGACTTTCCTGGTTTAGCACAGACAGTTCTAGCGCCTAAGGAAGCACTTAGGACCTAGCAAGTGGGGACAGTTGGTCATTCTAGTGGTAGCAGAGAACACAACCAGAACTCTGGACTACAGCCCTTGTCTGCAAAATACCCTGCCATTGCATCCCATGCCGAAGTTACTTGCAGATCTTCGACTTGTTCTCCCAACTCTCCACACAGAATTTCTTTTAGTTATGTAATTCATTGATTTTAGTTTGTTTATTTCTCCATGAGAGAAAAAAGAAAGAGCGAGAACTCCAATTCAATGCCACAGTCCACTCCCAGACTCAGCCCGTCGGGATTACAGGCAGACTTGCCCATGCCGGTACATACAGGGAGGCCTGAGGACACGAGCCAGGACCTTCCCATGTGGCTTTAGCATTGCTGAATGTTGTGCTACCAGATGAACTGCCAGAGAACTTTCTGGAGCAGCAAACGGTTCTTATCTTTATTTATATCCCTCCAAGAGCTCTCAGAAGCAAATGAGCAGCACAGTAGGTGTTCATTAAAAGTTCAATTTCAGACTGTTCTCAATCCATTGTTAAATGGCAAATCACAGTTTGCCAGAAAAAGTCATCGGAGTAGTTTTTCCTAAGTTGTAGCAAACCCTGCAGTTACAGATCCCTCAGTTCCTACCCGAGAGGCCTGTGTTATTTATGATGATGTCATAGGAAAAAACGCATCAAGAGTTCTGACTATGAGCTCTGGGTAAGTTGCTTTCTCTTGATTTCAGATAACCCAAACGTAGAAAGAGGAGGTTGGGACAAAATGGTTGGTAAAGATTTGAAACTGGACAGTTTCAGTAGTCAGGCCTTATTCAATGAGAATAAAACAGTGCTGATAAGAACTCGCTGATGAAACGAAATCACAGTATCTGTCAAACCACAAATATCAGTACAAGTAAAAGCTAGGTATCGTTTGTTCTCAAGGGTTCCTTCCTCCTCACAGGAATTCTTGAACCGCATTTAATCTCTCCTACCAACCCTGAAAACACCCAAGGTCCCTCATGTTCTCTCTTTCTTCCATTAGTGAGTCAAGATAAATTAATTTACACGAGGATATTAGCAATAGCTTCCCAAAGCATCATAGTTTATAATAAGCCCTCCTGGGGGGCTTGTATTACAGACAGATGTTCAGTCAAGGACTGGATCTGCGACAGAGCAGTTACATTTATTCCCTTTCTAAGTAGCTTATATCTTGCTAGTATCTTCTGTCATAGGTGGAACAGACCTTGGAAACACCATGCTGCCGTTGCCGAGGCTCTACATTTGTCCATAAGGTTGCTTAAAATCTCCTTGGCGTAACTGCCAATCTGTTCAAAGAAACTAGTGCAAAATGCTCTGCTGTAGCTATTCTCATCTGTTGGTAATGACACTCCAGGTTACATGGAGTAACTTTCTTAGGTGAATGACTTGGCATTTATATTATGGGACTTCAAAATTTCATAGATCTATGGAATTAAGGTATCAGTTTACTTTAGTGCGAAAAAAATGTTGAGTTTTCTCATAATATGTATTTTCTATGAACTTTTTTATTACTCTTCACATTACATTTCTCTTACTAAATACCTACATTTTACTCTTCGCATTACATTTCTCTTACTAAATACCTACATTTCAATAAGCAAACAAATAAATCAGCATCTCAAAAAACTTATTCTGACCTGGCTCAGGGTTTTCCCTTACCAGAGGATTTGGAAGAAGAAAGCCATAATCTTCAGAAATGTGGTATCTTCCTAAGGACAGTGCGGTTGCAATCTTCCAATCTTGTCTGTGAGGCTCCATAATTTTGTTCGAAATATCTGCACGGAAGCTTCCACTGAAGAGACAACAACTCCAAATATGTCAAAGACCCCTCAGGAGAACTTCACAGCCACATCTGTTCGTTGGAATTAGTTGTGCAGCCTCTCAGCAACAGGGAAGAACCTTGACCCAAGGCCGAATTTCAGACTGCCATGGACTTCCTCAGAGACAAGGCTGAGTAAATCATTAGAGACCATTAATCAAAACAAACAGGCAAGAGGTTAGACGGTAGAACAGTGATAATGCAAGACTCTGCAAAGCTGACCCAAACGGGAAGTTCTGGGGTTCACGTCTAGAAACTTCCCTGAGTATGTCAGGCACAGGTGCAAGCCCATGGTCAGAAGCTAGCTGAGGGCAGGGATGGATTGCCGCAGGAAGGTCCAGTTGGGGGTGCCAGTCTTCTTCCCACTCTGTCTATGTCATTCATGGAAGACAGAGAGAAGGGAAAGAAGAAAGAAAGGGAGAGAGAGAGAGAAGGAAACAAAAAAGAAAGAAAAGAAGAAGGAAGGAAGGAAGGAAGGAAGGAAGGAAGGAAGGAAGGAAGGAAAAGAAAGAAAGAAGAAAGGAAGCAAGGAAGAAAAAGAAAGGAACTTTAAAAACTAAACAAGGTGGGACCAACAGATGGCATAGCAGTTATGTCGCTGGACTCCCATGTAGTCGGCCATGTTTTGAGTCCCAGACCTGGTGGCTTAACCTCATGCTGGGCGCATGCCCAAGATCCCGAGAGGAGAACGGAGGAGAAGGGATTGCAGCCATCTCCCCTGCGTGGGTGATTTCTTGCTTTCCGTCTTTCTGGTGAGCACACACACCCTATAGCAAAAACCTCTCAAAACAAAAAAAAAAAAAAAGAAAGAAAGAAAAAAAAACTCAAGCTGGGCACGTGTACATGCATGTCCAAAATCCTGAGAGAAGGGAGGAGAGGGATTGAGGTGTGGCCATCCCTATCCCTCTTCAGGAGTGATTTCTCCTTTTCTGTCTCTGTCTCATTGTCTCACCAATGCACATGCCCTATAGCAAAATAATATCACACCGGACGCATGTACATGCATGTCCAAAATCCTGAGAGAAGGGAGGAGAGGGATTGAGGTGTGGCCATCCCTATCCCTCTTCAGGAGTGATTTCTCCTTTTCTGTCTCTGTCTCATTGTCTCACCAATGCACATGCCCTATAGCAAAATAATAAATAAATAAACTAAATAAGGCAAACAAACAAGGTAAAAGCAAACAGGCAAACAAAACCAACTCAAGGAAAATTTCTCCTTTCATATATTAGGTCATTGGGAAAGTCATGATGTATTTTTCTATATTTATCCATGCAAAGATGCCTCGTGATTTTCCCGACGACCCAATGTAAGCAATATGACAACACTTTTTTTTCAAGTTTTGTATAAGGTGAGTGTGCTTGCCAGTGAGAGATAGACAGATAAGTAACAAAGACAGAGGGAAAGTGAGAAATCACCCCTGGGAGGATGGCCATGCCACCATTTCTTCTCCTCCATTCTTCTCTTGTGATTTTGGGCACACATGCACATGTGCCCAGTGTATGCACGCATACATGTGCATGTGTGAGTGTTTTAAGGTTCCTGTTGTAGGGCATGTGTGCTCACCAGGGAGGAGAGAGACAGTGAGAGGGAAAATAAGAAATCACCCACGAAGGAGGACGACCATGCCGGAATCCCTTTTCCGTTCTCCTCCTGGGATTTTGGGCACACATGCACACATATCTGGCGTGATTCTCAAGCCTCCATGTCTGGGATTCAAACTGCGGTTGGCCATGTGGAAGTCCAACACCCTAACCACCATGCCGCTGGCTGGCCCAAAAAGATTAGCTTCAAACCCAAAGAAAAATTTGTTCCACTTTGAAAAAAGGGAAATGAGTTAGCTTTTTGGTCATGGTCAATTCAACCTGTACCCTGACAGGAATCTCGTCCATGGTGTATTTTGGCTTCAAAAACAGTGAATGATTAAAACTAGAAGTCATATTCAAGTCATTATTCAGTGATCAGCAGTGAGTGGAGTGGGAAGGTGAACTTGAAGCATACCAGAAACTCAGACAGGTGTACAGGTCTATTTGAACGACCTAGTCTAAGATTATAATTATTTCAATTTCTTTTAATAAATACTATTTAATAATGTATTAGTAAATACTATTTAATAATCTTTAATCACATTCAAAGAGGATATTTAGGTTTAACAAATGAGGTATTAAGTACTAATGAAGTTAAAAAATAGCCTGAAATGATCATTTGCCCTCTACTTTTTTAAATGACTTTTGAGAACCTACCACTTGGGTGATTTTATTTATGAAGTAGATACAGCCAAGCTCATTTTAAAGATCAGTAAATGGAGGCACACTTACATGAGAGCCTCTGCTAATTACCCACAGAGTGAGGACTAGAGTTCAGTATCTGGTCACCACATAAGCTCTCTGGCTGGCTGTCATAGCTGCCATCACAATTTGAACTCACTTTAATACGGAGCAGAGCCTAATCATTTCCAGGTCATCATAACCCTGCCTTGTGGAAATTTTGAAGACCTTGCCTTTTTCTCAAAGAACCCTGAGCTTAAGTCATAAAACTGTTTAAAAAGTTTGCTTGAAACCTAATTTATCCATACATATTTCACCTTCCTCCCCTTCTCAAAGATAATTATAACAGTTAACAGCAGGAAGTGCCATGGTAACTCATTGAACAGTTCCCACCAAAATTTCAGTTTTGGACATTGTGTGCCCAAAGCAGCCCAACTGATTAGGGATCATCATGAAACTTAAAAACTTTTCTTAATTATCCACTTCCTCTGAGCCCAATATTCGACCAGTTCTCAAGTTCAGTTTCTAAATCTCCTAAACTTTTCAAATTTTCTATGGCAAATCATCCTCTTGTTCTTCCTTCCAATTTCAGATATGAAGATGACCTGGTTATTTTTTATGCCAGCCATGTTGTTGTTGTTATTATTATTATTATATTTATCTATTCCTTTGCATACTCTTAATAATTCACTAGGGACATTATAAAACCATAGTTTCAGGCTGGTCCTGTAGCCTAGTGGTTAACAGAGATGAATCTCACATGACTGATCACAGTTGGAATCCCAGACCCAATGGCTTGAAAAACATGTTGAGGCATGTGCATGCATGCCCCAAGTTCAGACAGAAAGGAGAAATGGAGGAAAACAGATTGTAGCATTTGTAGCATGATTACATCCTACTGGGGTGGGCGGGGGATGACATTTTCTTTCTCTCTCTATCTCTGCCTCAGTTTCTGTCTCACTGTCTCTCTTTAGCAAGTGCACATGTCCTCTGGCAATTCAAGATTAAAACAATACATAAAATATTAAGATGGCTTAATATAGGCAAGTAAATAAAAATGACACATCACAGTAACAGAATGAGGGACAAAAACCACATAATCATCTTAATAGATACAAGGAAAACACCCACATTTGGTGTTTTTGGTTAAATGTAGCATCCTTCTACGATAAAAACTCTCAACAATGAGGTATAGAAGGAGCATATCTCAACAACAGAAAGATGATCGACAAGTCTACAGCAAATATCATGATGAAGAAGAAGATGAACTTTTTTTCTGTAAAATCTAGAACACGAAATGGATGCCCATTTTCACCACTTTTATTCAGCACAGGAATGGAAGCCTTAGCCAGAGTAAGAAGGTAAGAGGAAGACATGAAGGGCAACCAAATTGGAAAGGAGGGAGTTAATTTGCTCCTATTTGCAGATGGTATATTTGTATATTTAGAAAACCCTACCAACTTCATTTAAAAAATTGTTACAACAAATAGACAAATTCAGTAAAGTTTTATGTTACAAAATTAACATGCAGAAACCAATACCATTTTTTAAAAGAGATTCTTTTGCTATTAGGCGTGTGTGCTCACCAGAGAGACAGAAAGAGAGAGAGAGAACAGAGAAATCACCCCCAGGGAGAATGGCCATGCCACAATCTTCTCCTCCATTCTCCTCTCAGAATTTTGAGCACGCACTCACACCATTCCAGCATGAGTTTCAAGCTGTAGAGTCGGGGACTCAAACTGCTGTCAGCCATGTGGGAATCCAGCACATTATACCACCTGCTGGCCCCCACCAGTAGTATTTTTATGAGTCAACAGTGAACCATCTAAAAAATAAATCAAAAAAAAATAATTCCACTTACAATAACAACAAACGACTAGGAATAAGCTTAACAAAAGAAGTGAATGATCTCTATAATAAAAACTGTAAAACACTGATGAAAGAAATTGAAGACACAGATAAATGAAAAGTTATTCCATATTAATAAATTGGAAGAATCAATCTTTTTAATATTTCCTTACTACCCAAGATAGCTTGTAGGTTCTATATAATTCTTGTTAAGATACTAATGACATTCTTCCCATAAATGGAAATAATCATTCTAAAATTTATATGAAACCACAGAAGACCCAAAAAAGTAATCTTGAGCAAAAAAGAACAAAGCTGAAAGTCCTAACACCTAACTTTATACTACTCAGCAATGTTAACCCAAACGGCATGGTACTGATCTAAACAGAACAGCGAATTCAGAAAGAAATGCACACATTTACAGCCACTAAAGCACTAAGAAAACTCATTTTAGAAAGGACAAACGGTGCTTGGAAAAGTGAGTATCCACATGGTGAAGGACATTAGACCCCTATTTATCACTGCTTACAAAAACGAACTTAAAAATGCATTGATGACCTAAACATAAGACCCCAAATTATGAAATTATTAGAGGAAAACAAAGGAACACTTCATGACATTGTTCTGAGCAAGATTTTTTTTGTATAAAACTTCAAAAGCACAGGTAACAAAAGCGAAACAAGGCAAATGGGATTATATAGAACTAAACAGTTTCTGCAGAACAAAATAACAAATTGACAGGAAGGAGAGACAGCCTACAGAATGAGTAAAAATATTTGCACACCAGGTAGGCATCTGACAAAAGATTAATATTCAGAATTTAATTAAAAAGTGGTTAATACAGGGTCAGCACGTAGGGTAGTGGTTAAAGAGTGGTACTCCCACATGGCTGACTGCAGTTTGAGTCCTAGACCTGGCTGCTTGCTTTTTCGATTTCTCTCTCTCAAGTACACACACCCTATAGCAAATTAAAGAACAATAAC